ATAGCCAAATTAGAACACTAGCTTAATGAAACTTGCTTAATTGATTTCTATAAACATATAGTGACTTAATTAAGTTAGGTATTTGTGCAAGCATCTCAAAGGAGACTTGTACATAGCTTTGGATTCTAAGTTAGTAAAATCACCCATGAATGTAAATAATAAGACAAGCTGGTATCATACGAAGTGTTGAATGAATTTATAATCCTAAGTTTTAGTCTATTGCCTTTTCCAAGTAATTTTAATTTCTGTTAGTTAACTTAGTGCTTGTTTTACTTTTTTTTTAATTAATCTTTTGAAAATTTTAGTTACTTAAATAAGATTAATTGTCATAAATTTTAGTACTTAGTAAAAATTTAGGAACAAATCTTCATGCAAATGATATGATACTGCTTGTTTGATATGTATACTTGCATGCGCAAAATCGACAATAGGATCGACCTTTTAAACATGAAGGGTTAATCCCGTGTTACGTATCTCAAGGCAATTTCTTCCTTGTTTCCTAAGGATCGACCTTTCTTGACTTGAGGGTAGATCCTTTGATTTTCAAATGCTGAACTTCTCATTTATGACTTCTCGAAACATACTTTCTTCATTTCGAGGGCTGATCCTTTGATTTGTAAAAGCTTGGCTTCTTTTTGTGACTTTTTAGGATTGACCTTCTTAGTTTGAAGGGGGAAGGGGGCGAAGGAGTTGATGTTAGCTTTTCCTTTGTGTTCTCTTAGGATTGGCCTTTTTAACTGGAGGAGTCGATCATTTGATTTTCCAAAAGTTGATTTTGCTGTGTATCTCATAGGGATCAGCTTAATATCACCAGGGGTTGATCCTATAAATTTCTAAAAGGTGAATTTTGCTCTCTATTTTCTTAGGGATCGACCCATCACCAATAGGGGATCAATCCTTACAGTTAAACTCTGACATTTTGAGTGCTTTTGAGTTTTTTTCAAGTACTATGTGATAACTCTATTATATAGAATTATTTAGACATATTTTGGTGGCTTAAGTAGCTAGA